ATGTTCAATGTTAAAATCTTTTAAATAAAAGTTGTTTAAAAATTTCGGGATAGTCATTTATTTTAGATGAGAAAATTATTTTTAGATAAAAGATTCCTTTTTTTTTGTTTTTTAGAATCATGCATTTTCATTGCTTTTTATATAAATTTATCTCACCTAATATTATATTTTGAATTGTAAACTTTCTTAAATGAAAGTTGTTTAAAAATTTCTCGGTAGCCATTTATTTTAGATAAAAAAGCTATTTTTAGATAAAAGATTCTTTTTTTTGTTCGTTTTCAGAATAATCGGTTTTGATTCCTTTTTATATAAATCATATAGTTTTAGCTGATATTATATTATTACGTGTAAACTTTTTAAATAAACGTTGTTTAAGGATGTTTCGTTAGTCATTTATTTTCGATTACAACATTATTTTTACATGAAAGATTCGTTTTATTTGTTTTTAGAATCGTCCATTTTTATTCCTTTTTATATAAATTAGTTTTAGCTGATATTATATTTTGAATTGTCATTTCTTTTTTTAAATAAAAGTTCTCTAAATGTGTTTGGGGAGTCATTTATTTTAGATTGGAAAATTATTTTTAGATAAAAGATTTGCTTTTTTTTGTTTTTAGAATAATCCGTTTTCATTGCTTTTTATATAATTTAATTTCACCTGATATTATATTTTGAAGTGTAAAATTTTTTAAATAAAAGTTGCTTAAAAATTTCTGGGTAGCCATTTATTTCAGATTATAAAACTATTTTTAGATAAAAGATTTTTTCTTTGTTTTTAGAATCATCCGTTTTAATTCCTTTTTATATGAATTAATTTCATCTGATATTATATTTTGAATTTATAAAATTTTTTGAATAAAACTTGTTTAAAAATTTCTCGGTAGCCATTTATTTTAAATAATAAAGCTATTTTTAGATAAAAGATTCTTTTTTTTGTTCGTTTTCAGAACAATCGGTTTTGATTCCTTTTTATATAAATCATATAGTTTAAGCTGATATTATATTATTAATTGTAAATTATTTTTAAATAAACGTTGTTTAAGAATGTTTCGGTACTCATTTATTTTAGATTATAACATTATTTTTAGATAAACATTGTTTTTATTTGTTTTTACATTCATACGTTTTCAGTTCTTTTTATATAAATTAGTTTCAGCTGATATTATATTTTGAATTGTCATTTTTTTTTAAATAAAAGTTCTCTAAATGTGTTTGGGTAGTCATTTATTTTAGATGGGAAAATTATTTTTAGATAAAAGATATTTTGTCTTTGTTTTTAGAATCATCCATTTTCATTGCTTTTAATATAAATTAGTTTCATGTGATATTATATTTTGAATTGTAAAATGTTTTAAATAAAAGTTGTTTAAAAATTTCTAGGTAGCCATTTATTTTAGATTATAAAACTTTTGTCAGATAAACTTCTTTCTTTTGTTCGTTTTTAGAATAATCGGTTTTGATTCCTTTTTATATAAATCATACAGCTTTACCTGATGTTATATTATTACTTGTAAACTTTTTAAATAAACGTTGTTTAAGGATGTTTCGGTTGTCATTTATTTTAGATTATAACATTATTTTTAGATAAACATTGTTTTTATTTGTTTTTACAGTCATACGTTTTCAGTCCTTTTTATATAGATTAGTTTCAGCTGATATTATATTTTGAATTGTTATTTTTTTTTAAATAAAAATTCTCTAAATATGTTTGGATAGTCATTTATTTTGGATGGGGAAATTATTTTTAGATAAA